TCCGACGCTGCCAGAAAAGTGGAGCGAGCGGCTTTCGGTGGTTTTCGGCCTCCAGGGGCGCTCGCTGGGGCTCGGCAGCGTCAACAAAAATGAGTCAGGACCGAAAAACAGCCCCTGGGGAAAGTGGTGGGGCCCTCCAGGGTCCACGCATCGGCAGCCGGATGTGGGGGGGGGCGGCACGGTGGCCAAGGGGTCAGGGGATGAGAGGGTGCCCATAGCGCACCGCCTTTCGTTTTCTCTCTCTCTCTCTCTCTCTTTTAGCGCCTCCCGGGAGGCCCTTGCCGCCACGGCTAGATTCGCATCGAAACTCTAGGCGCTTCCCCACCAGCCGCTTGTCTCACCTCCCCCTGTTCTCCTGTTGTCTCCCTTGTCTCCTCTCTCTCTCTCTCGTGTGCAATTTGGGTTCCTGCTGGTTAGCGGTAGCTCTGGACGGCGCGCGGCCTTTCCGTTTGCGCTCGCGATCAAAATAGTATCCCCACCAGCCCGTCCTGAAACGATGTCCAGGCGAGTTGAGGTGATCAGGGAAGTGCGGCAGCATAGAAGGGGACGGCGGCCGAACCGTGCGAAGGAGGGAGGAGGAGAAGGAGGCGGCTGGATGGATGAGGGAGTGGGGAGAAGTAAGATGAATAGGATGAGGAGGAGGAGGAGGAGGAGGAGGAGGAAGAAAAGGAGTAGGAGCAGGAAGGAGGAGCAGGAGAAGGAGGGCAAGCAAATGGGCAAGAGGTCTCTTGTATGCCTCTCGGAGCATATTGGGATATCTCTTTGGCGCTTCTCGCAGGCCTCTTGGGACGTCTTGGGGGTCTCTTGGCGGACAGTCTTGGGTGCCTCGGGGGGGCCTCTTGGAGCCGCTTTGGGTCTTCTTGGCGGCCTCCTAGGGGCCTCTTGGGGCCATCTTGGGGCCTCTTGGGGCCTGGGCGCTTCTTGGGGCCATCTTGGAGGACATCGATCAAAGAAGAGGGGAGCTTTTTAGCGTTGCCTCTTGGGAGCCCCAAAGATCGCCTCTTGGGGCGCTCTTGGGGCGGTCTTGGAGCGCTTTTGAGGCCGTCTTGAGGCTCTCATGGGCCTCTCTTAAGGCCCTCGTGGGCCCTCTTGGAGCCATCTTGAGGCCTCGGAAGGCCATCGGAAGCAAACATGCGAGTACGCAAACCACGTTGATGTCCCTTTGGTTTTGGAAGGATTTGGGCTTCTTCGGGCCTTTCTTGGGGAGCTCTTTGGCCACTTGGAGCCGTCTTGCGGCGATCTTGGGGCCTCTTGGAGCATATTGGGTGCCATCTTGAGGCATCTTGCGCTATCTTGAGCCATCTTGGAGGTCGTCTTGGGGGTCTCCGAGGCGCTCTTGGAGCCCTCTTGGGCCATCTTGGACGATCCAATGCGCCGCGGCCCCCCTCGTCCAGGTCAGGGAGGGGGTAGGGGGAGGGGTCAAGACACCCTCTCCGCACGCAAGCCGACTAGCTCACTCCCACCAGCCCTCCTACCACATAGGTGGCATCCGAGTCTCGGCATAGCCAGAGGTCGCCACTGGATGGACAGCCACTGGGAATCAAAGCGGACGCCAGGTGCGCGACGCTTGCCGCGGGCTCCACATGCGGTTGGTGTGCCATCCTCAAAAAAATGTGATGCCCCCCCCCGTCAGCATGGTCCAGATGCTGATGTGTGGGGCGTCAGCATTGCTCTGGGCCTGCGCACAGCAAGCATCATCATGCGGGCACCACCGCCGTCCCTGTCAAACAACAAAAGTGATCGCGGTTGGCCAGCACAACACCCACGACGTTGTCGCAACGTGCACTTTGGATTGTTTTTGATACGGATGATGGTCCTGCACAAAGCGGCTTCACTAAGGGTACCCCGCCATCCCCATCAAAAAGCAATACACAGGGCTCACAGGGCGCCAGCGCATTGTCCAGAGTTTGCTGCAATGTGCACTTCGTATCGTCTTTTGACAGGGATTGTGGAGGGTGTTGGCAGGCTGGGCCCCGCAATATGCATTTTGTTTTGTTTTTTTTTGAAAGGGATGGTGGGGGGGAGGCCCTTATGGTGTGCTCATGGTTCCAGGATGGCTGCCGGCCGGGTGGGTGAGGGGGTGTTTAGTAATAGGGGACAGTGATGAAACCCTCCCCGAGTGGGGAGGAAGGGTGTTGGAAGAGGAAGCGCCCTGGACCACCTGCGCCCTGAGGGCTGGTGGGAGTCTGGCCAGAACGCGCCCCAGGGGAGGTCCGGGGAGTGGCCGTACCGGTACCTTTTCACATCCAAAGGGGGAGGTCAGAGCCCCGAATCATCAGGGGTAACTCGGGTCCTGGCTAACTCGGGTTCGTTTTTCGGGAATCCGAACCCGACTTACCCCGGACCCGACTTACCCCGGATAATTCGAGCGTCCAGAGCCCCACATCATCAGGGGTAACTCGGGTCCTGGCTAACTCGGGTTCCTTCTTCGGGAATCCAAACCCGAGTTACCCCGGATAACTCGGGCGCACAAGGAGGGGGGGTGGGGGCAGGCTTCTGACCCAGATCTCCAACGATGTGTTTGTCTCCGTCCCGGCGTGTTCCCTCGATCTCGGCCTCCGGTGCCCGTTGTCGGGCCCCGCCATCAGAAGGGGCTCCAGGAGGAAAGACGACCCCCCGGAGAGAGTGTCAGGATCTTCGGGGCCGCGGATTGGAGCAATCATATCGGAGGAGATCAGAAGTGGGTCCAGGGGGAAAGACGATCCCCCGGAGAGAGTGTCAGGATCTCTGGGGCCGCGGACTGGAGCAAGCATATCGGAGGCGAGCTGACCAGACGGACGGACGGACGAGATGGGGCCCTCGTCGGGCCCGGGGACCGTCAAGCAACGACTCGGGATGCAGGAACGAGGAAGGAGGAGGGAGGAGGGAGGAGGGAGGGGGATGGATGTGGGAGGAGAGAGGAGGGAGGAGGGAGGGGGGAGGGGGGAGGCGGGAGGAAAGATGAATGAGGAGGGAGGCATCCCGAGTGTTGCTGCAGAGCCTTCTGGCCAGAGCGTCCAACTCCTGGATGTAACCACGATGGGCACGAGCTCGTTACGGCCTATTCTCGAGGCGTGACGGGGCCCCGTGATACAGTGGAGGCCCATGCCAAGAAACGTCCCGCTTGCCTCCATGGTGCCCCGGGTATCTTGGGTTTCGATGGTTTTGCGATGGAAAGCGTGACGTTGCCACACCAAAAATCAAGGGACGCCCTGGGGTCTCAGGGCTGGGTCTCTTGTGGAAGGTTTCTTGTGGACTGGCCTCCACTGTACTTCAGACAGCTCTCGTGTCGCCCGCGCTGCGATGCGATGAAAAAAGGTCAGTCCCTGGGGCTGGGTCGAGACCTCCATGAGTCCACGCCGTGAGCAAAAATCATGCAAGAAGTCTCAAGCAATGGCGAAGCGTCCAGGCTCGCCTTCAGGCCCACCCTAGAATTTTCTGAGAACCCTTTGTGGTGCACGAACTGTTCTTAGAACCTTTCTGGCCGAGGCGATCTTGTTTTAACACGTCGCGCGTGTGTTGTAAGAACATCGTTTTGGTGATTTGAAGATTTTCGGGTCGTAAGAAAACTTCGTGGTAGGCCTGCAGGAGTTCCGGGACGGCCGGTCCCCGCCTCAGAAGCCGGGGCCCTGGAGCAGCAGGCGCGGGCCCGAGGCGGGGACGCGGATCCGCAGCCCGCCGCCGCCGGGAACGGTCCTCTCCGGGGCCCGGGCAGGCTGCGGGTATACGGATGCTCGGCACGAACGAAATGGGTACGGAAAGGATGGGTACAATGCCCAACAGCAGTTCTGGTTCATTCTGAACAGGACTCGCTGTTGGTGTCGCCGCGGCCTGTGCTCCTTTGACGCAGAAGGCCGCCTGCCCAACAGCGGCCGCTGTTGGTTTGGGACAACATTTGTTGCTGGGCATAGTACTCATTCTTTCCGTGCCCATTTCGGGCGTCCAAAGGCCACGGCTCCCGCAGCAGCTGCTGCAGGAGTGAGGGGGCAGGGTCCATATGTTGGATTCGACAAGTCCGCTTCGACATCGCAGCTGGGCCTCCCGATCCGCTTCGAGCCCGAGGGTTATTCCGACGATCCGATGCGGCCCGGTGCTTGCATGGCGCTGCTTTGCATCTTGGCGCATGCGATCCGATTCGATTCCGACTCCGTGCCTATTCAGCCCGATCCGATGCACATTTCGCTTCGATCCGAGTTGCCGATTCGGTGTCGACTGATCATGGGGTCGGGAGGGGTCGTCGGCAGTCTGCGAGGTTCTGAAGAAGCCCGCCGCAGGCGCCCGTTTTTTTACACATTGTATAAAGAGTCCGCCACAGGCGCCGAGATTTCGCGTGACAGCGCTGAGGGTGGGCCGCGGTTGGGTCGCGGGTGGGTCGCGGGTGGGTCGCTGGCGGGTCGTGGGTGGGTCTCGGGCAGGTCGAGGGTGGGTCGCAGAATAGTGGCAGAATAGCAAACAACAGTAGTCCTCGCCGCGGAAGCTTTTTTTGTCAGGCACGCGGCCAAGGATGGAGCTAGACCGTTTGGCCCCTTCACTCTGATGTTTGACCTTGGGGTGCCGAGTGAATGCATTCCCGCCGTCCGCCGAGGGCCCCGAAGGACGATCCCACAGGCGGTGGCTGTAAGACTACTGCCCGGCTCGCAGTGGCTGTAGACGAGGTCCCGCCTCGCACCTCCTCGGCGGCGGCATGTTCAGATTCCAGGGGCCCCCTCCCAAGAGGCCGGGTGCCGCCGCGCAAGGCCGCCGTCGCCGTCCTCGGCCTGCACCTCGTCGTCGTCTGCACCTCGCCCTCTCCCTCGCCGTTCTCGCCGTCCTCGACGTCGTCCTCGTCCTCGCCGTGGTCGGCCTCCTCGCCGTCCGCGGCCTCTCCCTGCCGCCCTCGTCCCCGCGGCCACCTCCGCGCCCCGCCGGGCCCGTGCCGGGGCCGCGGACTGGGCCGCGTTCGACCAGGGCGGCGTGGTGCCGCCGGGGCTGGGGCGGCGCATGCGCAACTACACCTTCGCGAAGAGGGGCCCGTGCAGCGC